CACAGTTTAATGCTCAAAGTCCTTCTTTCTGTAAAGGGACGCTTAGGAAGAGACGTTAAAGTTTATCAAGTACGCAAAAGTGTAGGCAGATGCTCCTTGAAAATGACTTACCCGAAGGAAGAGCCGCCAGGGAAAAAAATCGCTTTCCTGCCTTCTGGAAGTAGCAAAGTTTTGAAAATTATATTCGCATAAAAACTGTTTCAAAATAAGTTTACATCGCTGGGGTCGCTCCCTCCCCCCCCCCCCTCCCCCCCCCAGCTGCCTTTTTTTTTTTGCCTTCCAAGTCTGTATTATGTTTCTTCGGGTTGCACCAACTATTTATTTATCTTTATTCTTTCTCTCTTTCTTTTCATTCATTATTCTCTCTCCCTCTCTCTTTTTTTTTCCTCCTTCCTTGTGTGTGTGGTTTCTCGGTCTGATCTGTAGCTTGTTACCACCCACTGCACGCTCTCTCCTGCAGCCGAGGTGTTTCTATACAAACTTCAGCGTCCAGTTGTCATATTAATTATTACACTGAGTAATGACTGAAATAGTCAAAATAAGGGGAGACTCAAGAGAGCTTTTTCTTGCTGCTCAAAGATTCAGCAAAGAAGCCTTGCAACAAAGCACTAATTGGTCCCCAGAAATACTCTGACAAGGCATGGAAGATAGGTTTCATAAAGCCCAGCAATTGTGAAGGGGGAAAAGATCCTTGAATAGACCCCACGCTTCTTTTCTAAACTCTCTTGCTGAGCAAAAAATGGACTGCTTCTTGAATACTGGACTGATCTTGAATGCTATACCCAGCAGAGAAAAAAATGCACCATTTATTGTAAGTTTTTTTTCCAGCTATTCATGTGTTCTATGTGGAGAATAAGCTGGTTTTGTTTACCATGAAAGACCTTTTACTTTATTTTCACTCTTGGGGGGGAAGCTGGAAAGGGGAGGGGGAGGGCGAGGGGAGGGAGAGAAACACATGTGCCCAAATCCAGACGAGCTGCCTACTGTAACAAAATGGAGTGTAACAAATCCTACAGAAGTCCCGAATGTATCGATTCTTTGAAGATCCATATAGATTAACGACTTTCGTTCTGCTTTTCCAAGACGGCATTTAATCATAACGTAAATGGCCTTTAAAAAAGAAAAGGGGCAAAAAAAAAAAAAAAAGCATACCAAAGTTTAAAAAAAAAAAAAAAGACCTCATGAGTGTGGCTACAATTTAGGCACACAAAAAAGCCACTATAAAATAATGACAGTTCAAGATTTAAAAAAAAAAAAGAAAAAGAAAAAATAAAGAAGAAAAAAAAAGCCCAATGAAAAGGGCAAGGGCTATTTATCATTATGTTAGAATTAAGAATTTCAAAGTGCAGGTGCAGGACTGTGCGTACGAGTGCGTGGCAGCGGGGGAACCTTGAAACAATATTTATTATCTATCATTCTGGCAGCCCCAGACTCTGTGCAGTGAGCAGACAGGGGACCTGGCAAGATTGGCATTACCTTGGACAAGGAGAGGGGTGAGGTTGGTCCCCAGCAGCAGCGGGTGGCGAGGGACGTGCTGGGTGAAGGGAGGAAAAGGCTCTGTCCTCCCCGGGACCTGAAGCCAGGGGAGCCGAGGGGGGACAGAGCCACGGAGGTGAAATGACATGCCAGTTACACTCGGTGACCTCTGGGACTGGCATGTTTTTCCTTTTTAAGAGCCCTCTGAGACTTGAGAAGAAGGGACCCAGAAACTCTGGTCTCATTCTGCCGTTTTGGGGAAAAAGGGCAGGAATTTCCCTACGTGGTGTTTCCAGGCCAGTTCTGGTAGTGGGCTGCTCCAGCAGAATTACTCTGTTTAAGTATGTATATAGTTTACAGGGCTGCAATTATTTTGATATTTCTGTTGCCGCTTCCCAAAGCACTGGGATGAGAATTGCAGGGCTGGTTCATTACTGTTCTCTCACTCCTGTGATGTCACAATGCGGAGCTGATGATGCAACAACTATTTCTGGTGCAGAGAATTCTGATGTCAGACAAGGGACGTTGAACAAACCATCCAGAAGACTTGGAACTGAAGAGGGAGAACTCCCTACACAGAAAATAAAAACGAATGTTTTATCCTGCTTAGGTCTGGCTGTCCGAGGTTAAAATAATTTAATACATTTCACATGCAATGAGACAGTAGGCGAAAAATCAGACCAGTGGGCCTTGAAACAAGTATGACAGAGGTTAGACCAGACAGACCTACTTCACCTTTTTCATCATACATGTGCATTGAAATCTGCCACGTTAAAAATTACTAAAAGACTAGTTAGCAGGTGCACATTAAGGTTCCGCCAGATGACGTTGCTGCTCATCACTGTTTAAGCTCACATGCTCAGCCAGGGTCAGGGGATCCAGTGGCAGATGAGAAGCGATCTCTACAGCTCCAGGCTGCCGTAATTGAGGCCAGCAGCAGAGCAGGGTCTATTTTTGCACTCATTTCCACTGAAACCTTCAGGTCCCCTCCTTCCATGCTTTAGGGCTGGTGCGAGCATCAGGGATGAAAGGCACTTGCCAGGGGCTTCCTAGAGCCATAATCTCACCCATGGCAAGACCGTCATACCGTGGCTCTGCTTTTTTTAGGCAGCTGGAGAGCAGACACCTCTGAGTTTTCAGAGTGGAGAAGTGCAGACAGAGGTGGAAATGAGACAAAGCTGAAGGCAGAACATGTGTTAAAGTTTGCACAGATAGGTGGACATGTGAAAGGCAGGAGGGCAGGGAGAGAAGGCCATGCCAGGCTCCTCACTGCTGCCTGTGCCAAGAGCAGGGCCACCAGCATGCCCAGGTGCTGAGCCTGGCCGTGTCTCCCAGGCTGCCCACACCCCTGCATCCCCAAGGGTTGGTGTGACCACCAAGCCACGCCAGCCTCAAGCTCTCAGCACCTCAGCCACATTTGGCCCTGAGCCACAAGCGAGACTTCACCTGGCAGCAGGGATAATGTCCCCTGCATAGGCCAGGTCCGTCCTGACTCCCCAGTTACAAGCAAATGCCATCGCCCACTTGGAAAGGTGGTGACCTGCTCCCACTTTGCAGGGTGCCATGGGAGGCAGCAGGGGCTCAGGGAGTTCCCCGGGGCCAGCAAGCAGACAGCGAGACCTGGGAAACGGGCTCTGGCGGCAAAGGGAGAGCTGACGCCACATCTGCTTGCTCTGCTTAGCGCACCCAGACTTTATGCTGCCCTCTGAGACGAACCTCCTCGCCCCGTGCCGGTGGCAGTGCTGTGGCACTCAGACCTGCAGGGTGCCGGCCACTTTGGATGCACCCAAGGGGGTTTTATTCTGTCCCTCCAGACGGGCTCGCCCCTTGGCACTCAGCATTTCAAAGCGGTAACTCGGGGTGACTTCCCCCCAGGCTGCGCACGCTGCTGCGGCGAGCG